AATTTAATGCCTCGTCCTTTGAAGGCAACAAGGATCTCTACGGATACCCTTTGGCGCCATTGAAGAACAGGGGACTCTCCGTCATCGCCATTGTTGGAATCGGATTGGGGAGTGGCCTCGTCAGCTTGGTTCTAAGCTTCACCGCCGTTTGTATATGGTTGAAAATTACCGAGCGGAAGATGGTGGTTGAAGAAGGAAAAATTAGTCAGCTCATGCCCGATTATTGATCTTAATCACCCATTTTCAAGCTCCCCCATCAGAGATTAATGAGCTGTAAATCTTCAATTATTTTCTGTTCAGGTATATACCATTTCCCCCCACTTTCTCCTTTTTTCTTCTCCCTAAACCAGCTATGGTCTAGTACTCTTTTTCCGTTTTTTAGTTGAAAGATGCCCTCTCGATTCAACATCGTAGAGGATCTTTTTTTTCTTTTTTGTTCCATTTTTCCCCTCTCACCTTTTTGGCTATTTTCTCCCCAAAACAATCGACAATGTATAAAACCCATTGGTTAATATTAAGATGCTCTCTCATTTTTAGTCTACTTTATATATACTGCCTCGTCTCTGCATACACAATTTAATTCTGCCGTGCCAGCTTCAAACAGTTACTGCATCTTCTCAAGCTGTCTGAAACACAAAGGCATAAAAACTTCTTTACATGGTAATGTTGTATAGTGTGCGTAAGGACAAGAAGCAATTATTATCACACATGTTGGAGCTCGGCAGGGGAACCAACAAAAATCCACATGAAAAAGGGAAATTGTCCTCAATTCACTCACCCCTCTCGCCTCATTTCAGTTGCCATTAGCTTAACCCTCCTTCTCCCAACACACACAGCCTATGTTGTGCTCACGAAGTTGTCTGTTTCCCAATTCTTTTGGTCAAATTTGTTCCCTTCCTCTGTTGACCATTTTTTTTCTGTTGTAGTGTAGTGTTGGTTGTAGCGTAGTGTAGTGCAGTGTCGCTTCAGTCACTCACTTACTCACCTCCTCTCCCCACCCATCATTTTCTTTGTTTCAAATTTTCTTTTCTGAATGTCTGGGCCTTACTTGAATTTAAGCCATACCGTTATTTGACACTACTGTGCAATGGCGTCAGAGAATACCCATTTTTCCCCTTCCTTACAAATCAAAACACTGTTGATAGCTTGTTGTGAAGTGCCATACCATAATAATGTCACAGACTCACAAACAACTTGCCTTTTTAACTGCACATGTCTGTTCTTACAAAATCTCAAGGAGGGGAAAAACTATTGTGTTGAGGTGGCAACATTATTACTGGGTTTGTCTGCTGAGTTGGACCTGGACAACTTTAATTTGAAAAAATTAAACTTCTATTTCTAGCTGAAGTGTCATCAAACATTGTAGTTAGATTTTAGGGAGATTTGATCTGTGGTCTGGATGGAGAGATGGAACGAGAAAATTGAAATTTGGAGGAGTCAGTTGTAGTACTGTTGACTCAAAGGCTATTCATTGAAGTTGTCTGATACAAAACCGTCGTTGAATAGTAACAACTTTGGAGTTTACTGATGCGAGAGTGGGGTAAAAGGAATTAGAAAAAGAAGCAAAAGAGAAACAGAAAGCATGAATGGAATGGAACTGATTCCAAAATTTGCAAATATTCTTCCCAATTCCTTAATCCCAACAAGAGCCAGAATTAGACAAGTATCCAACAATGTTTGTATCGTGCTTGGTGTGTAAAGTAAAGGGGAAAAATGGATTTTGAAAAAAGAGAGTTGAAAAGTTGGTATTTATAAAAAAAGAAAGAAGTTGGTAATTGGAAGGAAGGGGTTGGGTGGGCCAGCGACTGTGTGTATTTCATGATCAGAAGCACAAACAGAAGTCATCTGTTGAGTGTGATTGAATAAAGAGAGTTCAAACTTCACACCGAAAGTAAAGGAGGAGATGATATGAAATGAGAGAGAGAGAGAGAGAGAGAGAGAGAGAGAGAGAGAGAGAGAGGGGTCAAACATGCTTTCATTCCCCGTCATTAATGGCTCTTTCTTCCGAGAATGGCATGCATTTCATCATGAGTTAGGCCCCATTTGCCACCCATTCTTGGGCCTGGGTTGGGCCCTCCATTATGGGGAGTTGTCTCTTTTGGGCTTTCTTCCCTTTCTTAACTCAATTTGTTCAATTTTTTTCTTTTTAATTTGTTCGTGAAAAGTTTTGTTATTAATTATAAGTATTGTGCCCAATATAATAGATGGACGACTCAATTGATTAAGTCATGTGCCAAAAGATTGAAATGTTCAAATTTCCGCCCTCACATATCGTTTAACTTAAAAAAAAATTGTAATTGTTAAAAAATAGACATGATACATAGTTCTAATTATGAGTGCAATCTTATAAAGGAGAAAAAAACACTATTTGCTAGCCAAAAACTATATCAAAAATTACTATTTCAATCCAATCTTCGTCACTTTATCTATTTCTTTCCCATTAGGAAGTCAAACTCTACAAGTTACAACAAAATTGGACAAGTTACAAAATATCAGTTTTTTTTTCTTTGGTTGAAAGTTGAATATGATATATGAAGTTTTACTTATTTTAAAATTCGAAGTTTGACATGAGTACTTAGTAAGGAAACTCATTGGTTTATTTGAAATCCCATACGTTTCCATCTCATTGGGTAGGATCTTCCTCCAATTTTAATTTTTTGCATTTGAGAAGAGGAATTCCCTTGCTTTAAACAAAGTAGAGGAATTCCTTATTGGATAAAATTCACGAGGGATGTATTCAAGCATCGAATGGTCTAAAGTAGGTGAGCGGCATCTATGAATATATGCGTTTAATATATAGCATTTTTGACGTTATCTGCGGAAATTTTGGTGGGTGACGGTATTCAAATCTGCTTGACAATTATTTCTAATTATTTTATAGTAATTTTTGAACATTTGAATAACCCAAACAACTCCAACATCATAGCCGCGCCGCAACCACGAGCCAACTGCTGTGCGGCTTATTCCATCGGAAAATTGGCCAACTGGGCTCAATAAATTTGGGCCAGTGTTTCGGGCTTCACGCCTTCAACTGGGCTTTCGACCCGATCCATGTCCCAAGTTGCTCCTCTGCGACGCCCGGCTCTCGAGTTCCATCCTAAAACCCTATGTAACCCCCTGCGCCTCGACAGTTTCGGCTTCTTTTCCATTGAATCTACTGTTATTGGTTGATTGATACTGATAGCATGGAGAAGCTTCCCAAAGTTGTTGAACATGAGGAGGAAAAGGAAGGCGAAGAAGATGACCTGAGTTTCGAAGAACTTGGGTTGGACCCTCGTCTTGTTCGCGCGCTGATCAAGAAGGGAATTCAAAAGCCAACACCTATTCAACGAGTTGCAATTCCGTTAATTTTGGTACGCATTTGGTATTTGTTGCTTTCACCGGAAGAACTGCGATCCCTGACGAGTGGGAGAGGCGGTCCACTGTTAAATGCTACAAACTTGATCATGCGTTTGCTGCATTTTAGTTTCTGTTTTCATTTTTCTAACCGGCGTCCTTTCTTGCTTAGGAAATAGGGTTTCAAATTTTAATTTGCGATGTCTTCCTTATTTTCAACCCCGTTAAGGAAGCATTTTGTGACGTTTTATTTATTATTATGACGATTCAGGAAGGTAAGGATGTGGTGGCTCGGGCGAAGACTGGTTCGGGGAAAACTTTCGCATACCTTCTTCCGTTGCTTCAGAAGCTGTTTGCTGCTTCTAGTACGACGACGAAGTCAGCTCCGAGTGCAATTGTTCTGGTTCCGACTAGAGAGCTAAGTCAGCAGGTATGCTATTCTGCCAATGCATCTGGGAAGGATCCGGGGGAGGTGGCCGGAATTTTTTTTGTTTAATCTCATTGATTGACCAGTTACTTACTCATGTGTGCACTATGCATACAGGTTTATAAGGAAATTTCATCGCTCATTGAATCCTGTCGAGTGCAAGTGAAAGTTGCTCAATTGACAAGCAGCATGTCGCATTCTGATTTGGTTGGTTCAGGTTCATTATTGTTTACAGAAGTACATAGGAAGGAATGGATTCTGAAATACACTATTAGATGTAGCAAGGTGATTGAGGCTATGCCTATTATACCACTGAATACTGAATCTATTAGGTTAATGTCTCTTGCAGCGGACAGCATTGGCAGGACCACCTGGTATACTTGTTGCTACGCCTGCTTGCATCCCCAAAAGCTTGTCTGCTGGTGTTCTCGAACCAACCTCCATTAATGAATCACTTGAATTACTCGTTCTTGATGAGGTAAAATTATGGTAATAATTTGATCAGCATGTCCCGCTTCTCCATTTATCAAGGGTTGGTGGTACATGCTGTTTTATGTTAGTTGTTCAATTTTAAAATCACTGAAAGAGAGAAAAAAAAAAAGCAATGGTACTTTTAGCTTGTTCGAGGGAGTGGTATATTCTTCTTCTTAAAAATGTTCTTTAGGTAGGCTGATGCTTTAGAAAAGAAAGAAGAAAATGAAGAAAAAAAGATGGGTACAGTGTGGATGAAATTAATGTGTATAGTTATGTTGCAAATTCTGGAATTTATGGAAATTGGTTATCAAGTATACATGGTGGAGATGCTTTAAAGAATTGTGGGTGGATAGTTTTCCATGAAGGCTTCTTTCTAATTTTTAATTTTTTCGGTACAAGGTTTCTTTTTATTTTATTTCTCTTCGAACTACTTGCAAAAGCTCTAATGTGAGGATTTTAGATATTGAAAATTGTGACTTTTCTAGGATTTAAGCATTGGTTGATACATTGATTTATATTTGTTTCCAGGCTGATTTGCTACTGTCATATGGCTATGAAGACGACATAAAAGCTTTTGCAGCTCATATTCCCCGATCCTGTCAATGCCTTCTTATGTCAGCTACATCAAGGTTGTTATTTTCACTACTCTTCTCAAGCTAGATTTTTTGATGACTGCTGGCAGATGTAATCTTAAAGGCTTGCTGTCATTTGTTGACAATGTTGTTAACTTGATGGCAGTTCCTATGTTTAGTTTTCTTTCTTGCATATGTTGTCTATGGAAAGCTACATGTACTTGCATTTCATTTTCTAAGCTTTTATCTTGTTTAAAATTAGCCTAATTGAGTTTTATCTTAAATCATTGGTTATGAAAATTTATTCATTCTTTTAATCAACTAATGATGATATTTTGTTTTGGTCTTTTTATATTTGACAGTGATGATGTTGAAAAACTGAAGAAGTTGATCCTGCATAATCCCTTCATATTGACTTTGCCAGAAGTGGGAGATATCAAAGATGATCTAATTCCAAAAAATGTTCAACAATTTTGGGTAAAATTGCATTGTGCTTATCATGAAATAATGTGATATTGTTAAGAAAAATACTTGCCTCTTTACCGGTAATTACCACCATTGAAAAAGTGACGGCTCATTATTTTTAAAAAAAGTCTGTTTTTACATTCTTTTCTCTTAATTTTCAATTTTTCAATGGTGGTTGGGATAAGATTAGTTTTGACCAGTAAGGAGCTAAATATCTTCCTATTATTATTCTTTAGTGAAACTTTTGTTGCCCTTGAAGTGAACATATCTACACTAGTATCTATGAATGTGAAATCATCACATTTTTAAAAATTAAGCTTTCATAATTTTTTGGACAAATTTCAGTTTTTATTCATATTGATTTTGATATTCTTTGTTCGCATTATATAACTTCATTTCCTCGACTTAAATATTGTTTAGTGTTCAATTTTTTTTTTATTCATATTAATTTTCTTTGGTCTCTACCTACTGATTGAACTTGTGTTTGAAAAGTATCCACGACACTGTATTTATTTGTGTGTGTGTTTTTTTAATGTTACAAGATCTCATGTGATGCTCGAGACAAGTTGCTTCATATTCTTTCACTCTTAAAGTTGGACTTGGTTCAGAAAAAAGTTCTCATATTCACAAATACCATTGACATGGGCTTCAGGTTGAAATTGTTTCTGGAGAAGGTAAATGGCTCTTTTAATGCTTCCATCCTGTTCATTTTTTTCTTCTATTCCCCCTTTTGAAATATTGTTCTTAACAAACGTGTTTTGATCTATATTTTATTTATATGATTCCTATCTTCTACGTATACTTTGTACTATGTTACCATATAGTGCAGATGATTTCTGGATCATTCTTATGTACTTTTGTTTCTCCTTGCAGTAACTTCTTTCATATTTTTTCTTTTTCAAAATAAATTATCTAATTCTCTTTAAATTCTTTAGTCATTTCATGTAACATGTTAACGTTAACTGACTACTTGACGAAGAGTATTAACTTCTTTGTATTTCAATTTCATGTCCTTATATTTTCAAAGAATACTCCCCCTCACCACCCATCCAAGGTGCTCACCAGAAAATTTATTAGTAGTTGATTTGCTGCTTACCTCATGCAGTTTGGAATTAAGTCTGCTGTTCTAAATGCTGAGTTGCCACAGAATTCTCGCCTCCATATTCTCGAGGTATGCCTATTTATAGAAGCTTAGTGTTGTACAATGTACAAGAGATGATCTAATGACAACCTAGCAATCTTGTTATGTTATTGACCTAATATACATGTTTTATTGACGATTTTGGTGTCCATTTTTCTTTTTTTTTTTGACTCGACAGGAGTTTAATGCTGGGCTGTTTGATTATTTAATTGCAACTGATGACGGTCAAACAAAAGAAAAAGAAGCCAGTGAGGAGAATAATATTGATAAACGAAAGTCCAGAAAACGTTCCAAGCAAAAAATAGATTCCGAATTTGGAGTAGTACGAGGAATTGACTTCAAAAATGTTTACACAGTATGCAAATCAGTCTTCTTTTCTCTCGTGTTTATCTAACAGCCCAAAAATATATATTGATAAAAAAATGTCAATTATTCTAAAGGTACTTGGTATTTCAAAAGTGGTAGAATTTTAATGAACTGAATCCTTTGTTTGTCTGCGAATCTTTTGTTCCATCATCCATGGCAGAGGAGAGGTTGTATGACTTGGTCAATTAAATTATTGCCTTTTGATCTCTTAATGTGTATAATGCACACAAAAAAAATTTAATTAGTAATACGCATATAATTCCTCTTATGATGTGAACTATCAATAATCATGTTTCATAAATGATGTCTTGTATGATATTATTCAGTCTCGTCAGCTGCAAATACTTCTGCTTGATGGCCTTACTATCAAGTTTCAAGTAAGTTTTTAACAGCTGCTTCACTGCCATCTGTTCAGGTTATAAATTTTGAGTTGCCTCCAACTGCAGCAGGATATGTACACCGTATTGGACGTACTGGAAGAGCATATAATACTGGTGCCTCTATCTCACTGGTTGGTATTTTGAGATACTGTTAGTACTTCATGTCATTGTAGTGATTATTTACTTGACATTTTCTTTGAGAGGTGTGGTGTGTTCTTGTTCTTATGTTTCTTGTTGTTCTGGCATGTTTAATATTGAACTCCGTTAATCATGACTACTACCCACACTATTGACCTCTTTGGCTGCTTCTACATCATTTATCACAGCTAGTGATCTTGTGTATTTGACAATGAATTATCTTATTTTTGTCTCTTTTTCCCATGAAGAATGTGCGCTTGGTAAATTGAACTGCAAGTTTTCCCTATGTCAGTGTTGACATCTCATTAGTACTTGCTGATTTTCTCTCTCTCTCTCTCTCACTATATATATATATTGTGATAGGTTTCTCCAGATGACATGGATATTTTTGGAGAAATACAATCTTTTCTAAGAGCTGATGGGGATACAGACATTATTGTTCCGTTTCCATTACTTACTAAGAATGCAGTAGAGTCTTTACGTTATAGAGCCGAGGTTTGTGTTATGCACATCAGCATATTTCTATGGATGGTCATTTAAATATTAAACTATGTCATGATTGATGTGTTCATCGTATCTTTGCAGGATGTTTCAAAGAGTGTGACAAAAATTGCTGTTAGAGAATCTCGGGCTCTGGATTTGAGGAATGAGATTCTCAACTCTGAAAAGTAAGTTGTTTCTCTTACTTTTCTAGATTTATGAAAAATGGTACACTTCTGTACACATTACTTCCCAAGAAAATTATTTGCCAATTGCTACACAACACAAGTTGAAATCATTTTCATTTAACCTCCATTCACATGTCTTTTCGTGTGCATAAACCAATTGAACTTGTAAAGTAGGAGGTTTATTATGCTCATACTTGCATCCATATACTAACTTCAAATTTGTTTTCTCGTTCTGCTTCCTGTTTAGATTGAAAGCCCATTTCGAAGCTAATCCAAGGGACTTGGGTAACATATTTTGCTGTAGTTTTAGTTGTTTGTACCGACAGTTACCCATTTATGCTTGCATAATTTGATTGGACTTTCTTGCGCAGATTTGTTGAAACACGATAAGATTCTCAGCAAGAATCCCCCTGCTCCACACCTGCGTGATGTACCCGACTATCTTGTTGACCCAGTAACTCAAGAAGCCAGCAAAGTTATCAAACTTGCCAGAGCAGCAATGGGAAATACGCAGTCTGGTCGTCGGCATGGGTTCAAGAGAAAATTTAGGAAAGATAAAGACCCACTGAAATCATTTTCTGCTGAGGTATGACTGCTTGTTTCAATCTTGATTCATTTACAATCAACGAAAATCTCAGGATAGTGATTGCTAATGGTTCTCTTGCTTTGTTTCAACAATTTGATCGTCCGCTAACCCTAGTGAACTCTACTGATTGTTGATATCCGATTGGTTTCTGTATGTTTCAAAATAGGCTCCAAAGAAATCTCGCAGAGGTGGAGGGAAAAGAGAAGGAAAAAATGATGATAAAAACAACAGTCACAAAAAGAAAAAATCTACCTGATTTAATGTTCTTTGGCTTGTCGCTTCAGAATGGCCAATAGCCGGGGCATCACACAATTTTGTATTTCCAATTTAGTATTGAAAAGTAGTCGTAAATTATAGTTTAGTGGCCATTTACCCAATTATAATAGTAGCGATATTTCATTAAGTAATTCTATCATAGTGATTTTGATTGGAAAAAAATGAAGTAAAATTGGCGTTCATCAGCTCGTAAATGTTTTTTTTTTTTGGAACGGTCATCAGCTTGTAACTGTTGCTTCTTCTGAAAGGACCCAGAACACGACCCTCGAAACTTATGGACCACAGCCCAGAGTTCTGATGGAAGCCCAATATGAAACTCCTGGCCCAAAAACGTGCTGAAGTAAAGCTTGTAAGGTACCCATTTTAGAGGTTGTCGTGCTTGCCCTCCATTTTGTCTACAATTCTCAGTGAAATTGAAATAGGTATTATCTATGCGAGAGTTCCTCCCTGCTGAACTTGCTATGAGCTTCCTGTTTTGTGTAAATAAATGGATAAAGTAAATGGTGAACTTAAAAGTTGATTAGAAAAAAGCAAAGAAAAAGAAGTTATAGTTGAACCTATTTAGACAAGTTGTTGATGGTGAAAGGGCCCGTTACTCAATTGTTAAGCCATATTCAAACTGCATTGGGGTTGAGAATTGGGATAGGTACCTTGAGAATATGAAAAACTTTCATGCCCTGAAACTTGGCACCTCTCTGTTGAAGCTTATCGGGATGAACGCACAACATTGCCTTTTTATAAAACTTATTCACTAAGGAAGAAGCTACCAAATCTGCCATTGAAACTGCCTTCCAACCACATTCATCTCCAACTACCTGCACCCATTATTCCACATTCATCTCTTAAATTACTCTTTTAGTCTTTTGGTTTTTTACAAATTTTGAAAACCACTTTTAATAGCCTTCACAAGTCATTTTTAATAATTTTTATTTTTTATGCCAAGTGTGGGTATAATAAGCAATTCTAGTAAAAACAGCCAAATGCAGGCCAAACAAAAACTATAAGCCGAGACCCAAAAATATTAGGTGACTCACACAATGTAAGGTGGAGAGCAATGCACGAAGATTGGCCTGCTTTCCTAAGGCCCAACGATCCACGTCAGCATCTACGAAATCAGTAGTTAAGATTAAGAATAACATCATTCAAACAAACAAATTTAGGAAGCAAAAAGAGCTAACAAGAATACCATTAGCCTGAGAATACCCAAATGAAGAGGAAGCTAAGTTTGATGAATTGTGGAGCTCGCCAATTTGTTCATAGAACAATGGAGAAGACTCCGAATTGAATATGGAGTGATGAGCAGTAGATTTCAAGGGACGTTTGCCTTCTTCTTCATCCTCTCTGTAAAGGATTCGAAATGAAAAAATGAAAAAAAAAAAAAACTCAGAATTCTGCATGCATAAAATTAGCTAAAAATTTTGGAAACAACAAATGATTGGTGATTAAAAGTGGATTTTTTTTGTTTTTTTTTGGCGATATCTAACATGTCGTATTTATATATAAAAAAGTTGCATGGTGCAATATTTTTAGAAATGTGAAAAGACATCATGTTAATATTATTATGTCATTTGATTACAATACCTGAATGTGAAATTAAAATCTAATCTATAATTAATTTTGAAGCCTAATCAAATCTGATGATTTTACTCCAAAATTGTTTTTATAAACACAAAATTTAAAATATTAACAAATAAGAAAAAATTCATTTAAAATATAATCTTATTCAAAAGGAAAATACTTCCCCTTTCTTAGAAGAAATACTTATCGGAGTAAGCATTAAATACTTGACAAGTCATTTTTTGAAAAATTATTTTTTATCTCTCTCTTGGTTTTGAAACTAGACATCTAAAAAGACTTGACATTTCTTTTTTGTTCTACAAAAAGAAACAGAAAAAAGATAATAACCGGCTATTGGGCCCGGAGTTTCCACCAAAGCCCGGAATCAACTCTTCACAGGAGGCCCAATCTTCTGCTGCAACTCCACCTCCACCCTCGTCCGAAAATTCCCCAATCGTAGCATTCTGCTCCGAGTTAGAAGTTTCAAATGATCGAAAGAAATCGTCGATTTCCTTCGAAAAGCTCTTATTCCGACGATCCAACAACACATCGGCATCGTCTACTCCGGATGAAAATGAAGATTTAAGAGTCGAATCCAAATCCGAATTTGCCGACGCACTGAACCTGGAATTCTGTGCCTTTGAGGCTGCCATTGGAGCCCCTTTCCGTGACGATTTTAAACCTAGACTTTCGGTCAGAGCCTCAATTTCGTCCATTATTCTGTGCGATTCGTCCGATTTACGGAACCAGAAACGTCACAAACAAAGTGAGAATTAGATCGATACTTGAACGTCGAGTACTCCGAGCTGCAGACAAAATAGCGGAGATTAATGGAGGATTAGTAGTGGAAGAAGAAGCGGCAGGATTTAAAAAGAGTAAAATCTCCATGTATCTGTGTTCTGCGAAGCGTTCAGGGGAGAACCAGGCTAAGTAAGTGAGGCCATGATCAAACCTCCAGATTACTTGGTCAATTCAAGAGAGAAGATAACTAGGCTAAGTAAATTGCTGAATCAATTTATTGAGAATTATAAAATTGACATAGTCAAACTCATTCATAGACCGAGTTAATTTATTACAATTTACAATTATACATTTGATTTTCTTTCATTTTCCGAATCAAACCAAAACCCTTCGATCAAAGCTCAAACCTTGCTGAATCAATCAATGATTTTGTCGATTATTCTAGGAGGTGGTTTTGGTTCTCTTTTCACGAGGTATTAGGCTTGAAAAATAATTACTTGGTGCTCGTTCGTGAGCAATATATTGCAGTGATCATTGCCCGATTGATCAAGGAAATAGGCCACAAGTGGTTCCATACACATTCATTTGGAAAATGATAAGCCAAGGATAATCAGACGTTTAAGAAGATAAAGAATATTGCTCGAAAAAAACAACTTACAAAATGGTTATCCATCTAGAATATAATGAGGCAAAGAAATGAAAGATCTAACATTCTTAGAACAACAATTCGCATGGACCTTAACTCTATTAAAATTTTCTTGTTATCTTTTAATCAAATGACCCAACATTAGCCAGAACGACAAGATTGGTTCCAAATGCTGTTATTGTATTTAACGTCTGAATTCTTAATCAAACTTGAGGTATAAGCCTTTCTTCTTAATATTAATATGTACAGCAATTGAAAAATTAGTACTGAAATATATAAGATTGTCATTCAATTCGGGTCTATGGGGATTTTGCTTAGTGTTTCGTTATTAATATGATATCTTTCTCTTTTCTCAACATTGTTATTTTGGTTCAAACGCATGCATTTCAATTGTTTATTCTTTTTAATAAAGAAGATGACAGTTTCAAATTTTATATCAGCTTCGTTCAAAAAGCACTCAGATCAATTTCAAACAGAGCAAAAGTTATATGCCAAGTTCAATGCTCTTACATGGCTTTTAAGTGAGAATTCACTTTTCACTTCAGGTTCTTGAGAATTACTACTTTTTCTTCAATGTGGAAAACCTTTTCTACTTGGAATTTCTTCCTTCATTGTACAGTTTCTATATAGGATGAAAATTCATGATGACAAAAGCCTATTCGGTTCTCCAGATTTCACTTTTCAGTTTACTCTTTAGCAATATTTGCAGGGTTATATGATTCTGCTTGAAGAGTTCCTTCATGTTGGCTTTTAGCTAACAATCTCTAAGTACGATGATCTGTCTCATCATAGATTTCCTCCTGCAAGGAACAAAAAATGAAGGGGTAATCAAGTTTTGTTACATTAATAGGAAGATAAAACTTCAGACGCAGGATGCGCTTTACCTGTAAAAGCTCTTCAATGACATCTTCAAGTGTTATGATGCCAATTGCTTCCCCCTCTTCAGAGAGCTTTGGCAGCAGGTCATCAGCAATCTGCAGGATTTCTGAGTTGAAGTCTTTGGACCATTTCTTACTTCCAGAGAACCTCCGATAAGAATTACTGCGATCGACAAATGTATTTAACATTTTCAGTGATCTTTTGCTTTTTAGACCTTTTTCCTGTGGTTGATTTTCACCATCCATGTCCACTTTCACATCTCTAGCTGTATGTACACATGTGTGTTAAATGTATCATCGTCGGAAATGAAGAACAAGATCAGGGAAGATAGATAACAGAAGGGAAATGCTTACCCTCAAGTTGATTTCTGCTAATGGACTTCTCTGGATCTTCCTTTTCTCTTACAACAACGGCCATATGACTATGACCTTTCTGGAAATCATTTAGTATGTCATACAATGGCATTGTTTCTGGTACCCTGATAAAGAAAGTTTGGGTTCTTAGTGAAAATGAGAGTTCTTTTTTTGTAACTATGCCCCCTTTTGAATTCAGCTCAACTGGGGAGCATGTTTGTAATCTCATTAGACTAAATGAGGGGGTATAATGCACATCTTCCCTTTTCCATCTAATCTTTTATATTCCTTTTGAGATAATGAAATGTTTCTTATGATCGTATCCAGTAAAAGAAAAAAAAAAAAGGATTAAGCATATAGCTTAGAGGAGGCATTCATTCATATGTAAATCATTATCCAACCAGACGTACGCCTTGTGGAAGTAAACAAGAAATCTAGATAGAATTCTCATTCTGCAGTGTGCCCATTACTAATGATTAAAAATCATATGGCTAATAGGGGTCAACATGCATGGTTGCCATTGATCAATAAGCTTCACTTAGATCGGTTGCAGTGTAGAAAATTTCATGTATGCAGAAAAGTTAGGCACATAAAGTAAAGTACCTTGGAATTTTTCGAATCGGGAAGTTCTTAATTGGCACCCCATCTGGTGAATGCATCGTTAATAAATTCTTCACCTACAATTCAATTATGATGGTATCAGGTAAAGAGGGTTAATATTATCACTATTTTTAGCATGGATAGATATTACCAATACAAGGCCGATAATATTTGCAGGGTGTTCATAAAACACAGGCACTCTGCTATGCCCCTTCTCCAGAATTAACTTGATCAAGTTGCTGCATTGTTTTCATAAGGATGTTTATTAGGATGGAGCAGAGAAGAAGAATGAAGTTGGTGTCTTTTCTGGGGTGAAGGTGATGATCAGAGATTAGCACTAAACCTGTCGAGATTATCATGAATATCGATGGCAAAAGTTTCAGAAATTGGAGTCATTGCATCTCTCGCGGCCTTCTCTGTGAGTTGCAATGCTCCTCCTATTATGGTTGTTTCGTCTAGTGTTAGCTCTCCTCCTTTTCCAGCCTGCATTTTTTAAACTCAGCCACAGAAGATTGAGAAAAAGAGAGACACAGAGAGATACTTGTGTTTGAGACAAGATACCTCGTTGCCATGAAAATCCACAAGTGTTTTGAGTTCAGCTCTACGGAAAAGTGCTTTATGTTTCTCTCCCAGTGAAAGGTCTAATAGCTGAGTCAACAAAATCAAATAATCAACTTTCAGGTTTTATGATGTTTCGTTGCCACCCATTTGGGACCAAAGCTGCAACTCAATTCATTCTTCATGAAAAGTAAGTAGGAAACTGCATGAATTGAGACTTAAATATTGTTTTTCCTGTTTCTAAACTTCATGTTTGTTTACTAACTTTTTCATTTGCCATGATTATGCAATGCACTCCTACAGATGTTTTAAAACTAGATTAGTATGGTGAATAAACAGTCTTTTTGGAAAAAGATGGTTAATCAAACTAGCCCAAAATTGTTACTAAATTTGCTTTAGTAATCAAATCTGAGTTAAGAAAGCAATTACCTTGCTTATAGGATATGCAACAGGAAAGCAAATCCAAACAAGAATCCTCACAAATGGAGCCACTGTTGCACCAATTGCCAAACCATATCTAGAACAAACAGCTTGGGGAATAATCTGTAGACACAAAGCAAAAAAACATGTTCTAGTTTCTTAAGCTTTTGGTCGAAATCTACTTGATTGTTTTCTCAGTTGAGATTGGAGAATTTGTAGAAGTAGATGAAAATTTGATACATCACCTCACCGAATAATAAGATCAAAGTGACCGAAATCAAAATAGCACCCCAAGCTGTCACTAAACTATCCAAAAATATAGGAAGTGCCTGTCAAAGTAAATACAAAACCAAGAACACTTTTTCAGCTGATACAATATGGGAAAAAACTTCATTTTCCAGCAGCTTACAAATACCTCCATGGCTACAGCATTACAGATCAATAAAGTGCAAAGCAGCAAGTGTTGTCTTCTAACGACTGGCAGTATCTTTGCTGTTATGTTATGTTAATGAGAGGTTCCCAAATCTTTGTCAATAACAAGCATTAAAAAAGACAAAAAAAATTTCGCAGGAAAGTGAAAGAAAAGTAAAGAAAGGATGAAGAAGAACACCAGCATGTTTACGGTCCCTTGGCTTTCCAGATTTGGCAAGAACTTCAATCTCAACGAGGCTCATGGACATGAGGCCAAGGGTGAGGCCAGACATCAACCCGGCAAACAACACCAAGAAAACGACTATCCCAATTCGGGTGAAAAATCCTGTAGTGCAGCAGCTATAGTCCACGCCCATTTTCAGTACCAGAATTTCTTCTTCTTCTTCAGTTGTTGGATTATAAAGAGCTTCAGAAACTAGCTGGAAAAGCACTGAAATTCCCGGAGACAGGAAAAAGAAGACATGCTATTCATGTTCTGTTCCAGCTTAGATTCTGTATGGTTAGTTACTTGGTCTGGTTTGGTTGGCATATTTAGCTTCTTTTGTATTGGTTTCTGGGATTGTACTTCAAGTAGAAGGCGGTTCATATGTGTTTTTGTACTTCAAACTTCTGCATTTGTTCGATTTTAAAGTGAGTTTTGGATGTCTGACTTTTGAGAACAGCGTTGGTCAAATATTATTTTGAGGAAGTACCAATGTTTTCTTTATCATTTCATAATTTTCCGTCAGCAAACTGTGACACTAGAGGCTAATAAAGAGAGTTAAAGCTACAAAATTGTAAGCCATTTGATGAAGATGCATTTTTGTGGTATAAAATGGTACTTATAAATTATTTAAGTGTTTTTGTTTAGTAGCTCGTAATCTGACGGTGGTTCATCCATTTGTGTACTTAGGAGCAACTATTTTTCTCTACTCTTATCTTGAGTGTCACACTATTACTTAATACTCTTAAGTCAAATATAACATTCAATTTAGCATACTACTTATGAAAATCATTTTTTATGAAGTTTAATGGATAAAAATGTAAAATCCCGTAGTATAAAGAATAAAATAAGTGTGTGTGGAAAAACATAAAATAAAATCTTACAAAATGTAGAAAATAAGATAAGTTTAAACTTGGACAGTGATGGGTACAAGATTTTGTAAGAATTGACAAACAGGAATAGAAATTTTGAAACATATTCTATCTTTCTTGAAGATGATAATATGCATCTATCTTATAATAAGTTTAATATAGTTATAGTTAAGAAAATGTAAGAGTGAAAATTCAACCTTATTAAATAAATGTTATTAAGCACTCATTTTATAATTTATTATTATTATTTTGTTTTAATAAACATAGTTGGTTTACCACCTATTTTAAAAGTATTATCAAATAATCAAAATTTAAAAGTTAGAAAATTTAGTTTTAAAATTCTATTTTTTATTTCTTTAATTTTTTTAAAATTAAAATAAGATGTGATATTAGGCTTAAAATATAATTCTAACAACTAAAAAGATTTCAAATAAATTCCTAATTTGGAATATTTGAAATACTTAGAGTTGAGAAAAACTTTGATGTGAATCTGATTCCCAATGTCATAATGTCTGGTAAAGAAGTTAGAATTAAGGGAATATTAAGGCAATGTTTCTTAGTGACAAAGATGTATTTGCAGAACTTTTGCAAATATGCTTTACACACTTGACTCCTCACTTTTTAAGTTTAGGTGCTTAAATTAAAAATTTATGTAACTTTTTTTTTTATCAAGCTCTAATTTTAATTAATTAATTAAAATTATGTCTCGTGAGTATTCTTAGAGTGATTATATTGTTAAAAAAATGAAATTATAATCGGAGAAAAAGAAATCAATACAAGGGAGGAGAGTTATAAAATGCTAACATGATAATAATACAGTACATATTAAAATACTATTTTGGTCTCTTCAGGTTTGATTCATTTTGTTATCTGTACTTTCAACTTTAGTTCATTTTCAAACATTTCAACTTTAGTTCATTTTAGTCTCTACTTACTTTTAAAATGTTAGTTTTGATATTTATACTTCAAAAAATGGACCCTTTTGGTCTCTTAATTTTATTATTAATTTCAGTTTTTTCAATATATTTCTTTGAATTTCTTTAAATACAACCATGCTTTTATATTAAAAATTTTCCATAATAGATAGAATTGGACAAAAATGAACATTTTGAAAATATAGGACTAATAAAATAGTATTTTAACCACAAATTTACATTATTGGCCTATCGAGAAATCTGCAATTGCAATTGTTTTTTTTTCATCTTAAACAAAGGCTACTTTCCTTTGATTCTATATTTCTATCGAAGTAATGAATTTGGGTTAGTATAGGCATTTTGGATACCGCTAGCTTCTTATTCCACAACAACGAAAGTATTTTTTTTCACTCTCTAGGGGATTTCACCTGGAAAAGGCCTAGTCTGGTCACACTTCATTCCCCGCGTGAGTTTCTAAGGCACATCTAAGATATGCATGATACCTAGGTCATGATGCATAACTCAATTAATTAAATTTATCATATTAGCTGAAGGTACCTGGGAGTTCTTGATGATTAATAATTAAATAAATCAAGATATCATCTTGCATACATAAGGGTCCAAGTCCTCCAGCTCCTTCACAAGCGGTATATCAAAAAAGAAAAGGAGAAAAACCCAGGATTGAGCTGCGTGAAAGCCGTCGACTCTAATATGATGTGCTTATTAGAGTATTATTGTTGACGTTAAGGCGTCAGTGCATCCCCTCCGGTGGGATTAGAAAAAGTTGTACAGTGGGATTAGAAAAAGTTGTATTTAAGTCTGAATCAGTTAATAACATGGTAATAGTCCCAGCAAGTGGTCTAATATATCTCTCATATCTCCTTGGACTTGGTTCGACATATGAAGTCTGGTTATGACAAAGATTGATGCTCTACCAACTAAACTATCTCGCCAAGTGTACATCCTCAAATTGTCCAATTTTTTCGTATGGCTTTCTAAGAAACTAGACCTAATAAGAAGCTCTTAATGCTAACTATCTCTTTCTTTCTTTGTAGACGTAGATTTGTTCTTAGTTGCATAAGTACTAATTGGTTTCTTGTCTGTGATTGGCAAAGCTCGTAAAATAGAAAATTTTCACGTTTTCCTTCACTCAACTCAAAAGGTAAAAGGAATGGTAAAATTTCGAATGGTAAAATTTCTCCTTGCCAAGGAGAAAGCACTCCTCAACTTTCTTCAACTAAGTTAATTTTGTGGAGCCACTCAAATTAAATGGGCGTCAAATTCAAATTTTAAACACCCCATAATTATTGTAATAAAAAAATCATAGAAGTAAAGACAAATGTATTTATAATTGAAAGCAGTTATAAAAATAAAAAGGGCTTTCTAAAACAAGAAATAATAATAATAAATAAAAAGGGAAATTAAGGGGTATTTAGAGGCAAATGTGAGTTGAATTAGTGAAAGAGTGGGCCTAGTCTTAAGGTTGTCGGCAAGGCCTACGGGCCGAAAAATACTTTGGCCCTGTGGCCTGTGGGTTTGGGTCAGTACGGCCGACACAAATGCCGTCAATACAATTATTGTAAAGGCGCGTGATGGTGCGCGCGTTGAAGGGTCCCGCCATGCTCCTCCTCTTACCACTACTCAATATTCCATCTCATCACATCAACCGCTCAAATTAGACCCTTTCCCACTTGCATTTCCTCCTCCTCCTGTTGGTAGTAACTACGCTCAAAACTAAAGAGAAAAAGAAAAAATACAATTTCCAGATCCAAGATCTAGACTTTCTCACACTAAATGCTGCTGCCTTCTTCTCTGATCTGAGATTCTGAGGTGATTTTTCCAGATCCCATTAAGTTTTCCCTAAGTAGGTGGGTGTGTGTGTTTTATTTGCAATCTTTTAGCTCAATTTCTGTAGTTTGTTCAGAACTTCGAAAGCTTCCTATTCACTTTTTTTTCCTTTTTAATTCGTTTCTTCATACTTGGGTGTAAGACATCACCCTCGAATGCTACATTATATCGATCTATGTGCTTCTTTCAGTTACCAATATGACATGGCATTGCATAACTTTGCCCGGATGGTGTTTGTTTTTTTTCTTTCTTTTTCCTTCAATCGTGGGTTGGATTTGCTTCTTTTTCCTTTTTGTTACATTTCTCGGAGTACTCGGGTTTTCTCCCTCTGGGTATTCAATCTCCATGGTTGTAGGTTATAAATTAGCTTTGCAGTTTGTGTTGTTTGCTGATTTAGTTTCGGAAAGTTCACTCTTGAAATTTGCATAATACTTCCCTTTTGATTTACTAAATTTTGTTGGGTTGAGCTGTTGGATGTGGGGGATGCATGGACATGAGTGAACAGAGGTATATAGTATCTAAACGTTCTCTCCCAGTTTGTCATTCAAGCGTTGCAACTTGCTGTGACAATTTGCCACAGCCAGGCGAATGATTTTACGCCGAACTGAGTTTTGGTACCTTGTAAACATGTTTATCTAATCAATGCTATGCAGCTAACGATCCCTTGTTTATGTTTCCATCACTTTCAGAATCACATCCTTTTGATCTATTAGTCATGCAAAGGAGGCAACCTAATCCCACGCGCCGCAATGGAAGCTTCCCATTTGCGGGGGCCTTGAATGCAAAATCAAAATCATCTCCCTTGTTATCAATATGTCTGGTCCTTCTGGTAACTGTCATGATCGAGGATCCATTTTATTTCCTGATTTATTTTATATTTCCTATCATTTTAATTGGACCAGCCTGATGATGGATGATAATCTGTTATTGCCATAGTGGCTTTACATCAGTAAAATATAGTCCATATGGTTGGTATTTGAATTTTGATATTGATATTGATATTTTTTTTTGGGTTTTCTCAGGGAGCAGTTCTTCTACTTGGCTATGCTTTTAGTGGCCCAGGTTTGTATTTGATTTACACTTTTTGGACTTCTCATTATATGATAATATCCTTATGACTGACTCTGTTATAGTTTGGGGTGGTATACTTTGATTACAGTCAAAGAAATGGACAATTAGTTGTCTCATTCATTGAACTATTATTTGTTAATGCAGGTTTATTTGGAGGTAACAAGATAGTCAGCAGGATTGAAGGTATTATAAGAGCTCCTTTCGTATCCTCCTTGATGTTTAGGGAGCAGGCTTATTTCCTGCTTTTACCTTTTTTCTTGTAATGATATAGGTTTCTTATTGAAAAACTGATTGAAGGTAAAGTTTCTTGGAATCTACGTAAAAGCACTCCAACTGGAATTGTTTACAAAAAGAGCTAGATTAAACACTCCAAGAAGATGCATTAAATCTTGCTAGATATTCTCTTTTCCTATGCAATGATTTTGCCTTTGAAAATTATTTGATATTTTTCATACCAAAATCCTCAATTGCCAGCTTTGATAGCATTGACATATAAAATTTTAACTTTGTATTTGAGTCTGTGCCCACCTTCTTTTGGGGTAAGATCGAAGACCCAAGAACATTCAAAGAGGTGAAATATTTCTCCCAACATTTTGAACTATATGGATTATGAGCAATGAAAGAAAAGACAAGCTGCATCCTCCCTTGTCTGCAAACAGAGCACACGACAATTAGAACTTAACAGTAGCAATGCCAATGACACTTTCTTTATACTTTATCTACCATATTTAAGCCTTCCAAAAGAAGAATCCACATTAAGACATTTACTTTCTTCAGATATGTCATCTGTAATAAAGCCTTTGATAGGTCCCCTTGGGATCAAAGTTGAAGATGTGAATTCTTTGGCCAAGGATTCAGTGGGAAATAACCTAAGCAGCCCAATTTCCAAAGTCTACTATCTTTCCTCCCAACAACCCCCGGGCATTATCAATTCCATGTACTAAATTTAATTGCATATGGCTATTATTTTCTGGTCATTGTGGCACTAGTTTAATTTATTTTAGTGAACTAATATCTGCTTGAATAGTGTAAAATAGGCATTGAGCGTAGCAAGGTGTTGAAAGTAATAAGTATATGCTTAAAAAATCATAACTCTCTTCCCCTAAAGCACGGCAAAATGGTAAGTAAGTTGAGGAAGTTTATTAGGGTGGGGAGCAAAGCATCTTGATACATTCTTTTATCCTTGCACCAGTTTTATTATTGCATTGTATAGTTTGGTCTATTTCCAGTTCCATGTAAAGCTTCTTGGTGTAATTTCGCAATTTTCTATTGTTTGTTTTTCTCCATATATTGATTTGGAGGCAACAGATGAGATCACATTTGTATTTCTTGTGTTGATGGTTTAGTTTTAACTAACTTGCATGGTAAGGGCTGTTATATTAATAAGAATTTTATTTGATGGTTTGATGATCTAGATAAATTTTAGCTACTATGTGCAAATGCTTGCAACTTGTGATATGTAATAGTATAATGGTTTAGTCCTGGCAATAATTCTATAAGATTTGTTTGCTTCTATGAGCATTTGCTGTCAAAATTGTAGTTTCCTTGGCTGAGGTGGTATTTAAACACAGATAAAAATTGAATCTGTAGGTGATTTTTCGTGCACGTTGGAGTTGCAAAGAGCAGTACCTGTATTAAAGAAAGCATATGGTGATAGCATGCGCAAAGTTTTGCATGTTGGTCCTGATACCTGCTCTGTGGTCTCTAAGCTGTTGAAAGAAGGTGAAACAGAAGCATGGGGCATAGAACCATATGACATAGAGGATGCTGATAGAAACTGCAAATCACTTGTGCACAAAGGCATTGTACGGGTGGCAGATATCAAATTCCCTCTACCCTACAGGGCAAAGTCCTTTTCTCATGTTATTGTGTCTGACGCATTGGATTACCTATCCCCCAAATACCTGAACAAAACTCTTCCAGAATTTGCGAGGGTCTCTGCTGATGGTCTTATTATTTTTACTGGTAACCTTTTGAAAGCTCTATGCAACACGTAATGATGTCTTTTCATAGGATGATAATTAATTTCACTACCAAACACCTTTGTGTTGTAAATTACTTTGTTCTTGGATGCTCTGCTCCTACAAAGATTACTTTGTTCTTTTTAAATTATCACTTTTATGAAAAAAGTAAAAGTTGGGTAGATCTGTGATGGAAAACTTGAGTCAACTAGAATTTGCCAGTTGAGAGCTATCGTGGTGGGTTAAGTTACTGCCAAGGAATCAATTGGATAGCTCCTCACAGCTGATTGTCATTGCAATTAACAATCACACTTAATCTTTCGGAGGAAAAATCTTGTCACTTCATTGTGGATGCAGAAAAATATTTAATGGAATTAGCAGTCTTCTTTGTTGTCACATTGTTTCTCCTATTCCTTTTGCTATCAATTTTTTTGTGATCGTATTCTATTATTTTTACCCATATAGAGTTTTTAACATTTAATATTACTGTCTCCCTTATATCTAGGTTTCCCTGGTGTGCAGAAAGCAAAACCATCTGAGTTATCAAAGTTTGGCCGGCCGGTAAGCTACTACTTATGGCATGTCATCTGGATCTTGTGTGTGCCATTTTTATTAGATATCCTAATGCTTAATGTTTTTGTGTGTTTCACATAAAATTATAAAAAATTTGGATAAGATGTGAATTCACTGACCCAACTGCTCGACGAACTATGGCGATTAGGCAAGTTCTTATAACATACTTGTATTA